ATGATATTTTCATACAGAACATCTGTTGTTCAAACTCAGGGAAGACTTTATACTGATGAATAAGGTGACCAAGTTTGATAAAGTTTGGAATAGAATTAGTAAAGTTATTATGCACACAATAACAATTATTAACGACAACGACGACAACGACGACGACGACAACGCCTGACAAAATTTTTCCCTTAATATACCTTTCCCTTCCATCTTTGATGGTACGGGCAAGGTAATAAATGTACAGATAAATGGATGTACCTGTACACATTCTGGTTTTGAACTGAATTCATTGGTGCACTCTTTGGACCTGGTGATGGCATGAAGATCTTTCCTGATTTGTTGACAGGAGGCTCCTTCTTCTTTCCCTTTGGTTTGTATGGATCATTAGAATGAGTTGGATAGGGATCAAATGTGCCTGCGTTACTTCCTCCAAGCTGTTAAAAAAGGAAATTTATTTTTACATGACAGACAATATTTGTTTATTATTGTCTCAAGTAATTATTCAAAATAGCTAGACGTTTCAAGCAGTGGCTCTTTTGGCCATTACTTAGGACAACGATTACAGATATCATCTATGTTATATCATATTTATCAGTTAGAGTAGGTTTTATTTATTTGTAGATTGTTTTCAATGAGCAAGATAGACAAAGGAAATCCATGATTACAGTGCAAAATCAGTGGATCAAAAACGAGCTACAATTTTACCAGCAAAAAAGCGATATACATTCCATCAGCTTTTTTAAAAGCACATTTACTGATAAATAGATGTCAGAGCTAAGTCAGACTTGTATAGTCACTTGACTGAGGTTTTTATCCTGTGGATTGATAATCTGTACTCACATGTTTGCCAGGATTGCTAGGACGGAATGGTCTAACATCTCTTTTAATGGCTGACGTTTTCTTGATAGGAGGCAGTGGTTTGTCCGATTTGTATGGATTCCCGTCAAAATATTCGCTAGGATGCATGTTGAGTTTGAATGAGCTTCCTTTCAATTGGCTTTTATGTTGCATCAGCTCTTTCTATTAAAAGAAACACAAATAAGCATTACACTACATATATTATATCACAGATACGGTATATACACAATATGACACATGTACACGTATCATAGATGCCAAGTATACAGTATGATCCTTTACATCACCATAAATATAGTTCCATCTGGTTTATGTCAAGCATGATATACCCAGTAGATCGAGTACCACATGTACATGTATACCGGTACTACTGCCAACAACATTTTCACTGCAAATAACTCAGTATGTTTTATTTGACTCACCCTTCTCAGTTCTTTTGGTCGGTCAAAGGCATCTGAGGAGTGTTTATGTGTACCTCCAATGGTAACACCCACATAGCCATATCCAGTACCTTTCTTGGATGGATTAGTTAGAATGTTCTTTCCCGGAGCAGAGTATGCTTTTCCTCCCCTCTTGACTGGACTGAATGCACCAGTTGGTCCACCAAACGTTCCATAATGGCTGCCTGCACCAGATCTGGAATGATAAAACAATAAGATGAAATGTTTTGAGCTGCGATTCAGTCTCATCAATAGGTTTTATGATTATACCCACACATTTGGTTTTAGTTTAGCATATATTGTGAATAATAATATTTGTGTTTAATTTATTTTAATCAATAACACATTATAACCTTCTGGAGGATTGAATAGAGTTACAATTTAGAGGATACAAACAAAAAGAACAAAAATATTTAGGTAGGTAGGCGTAGTTGTCTTATTTCAAAAACAAGTATTTAAATACTTTGCAAGACTGAAGGGGGATGGGCAAATTATTATTGAGCATTAAAAAAATAGATTCATCATTTTTAATCTGTCAGGATCTCTTCCACTTACGGTTTTTTGTCACCGTTACTTGGTAAAAATGATTTTCCAAGATTCTTCTGGGCCTCTTTAATTCTGGTTTGTCTCCTCATTTTGACTGGATCACTGTAACCTTCTCCACTGAACACTCTACCAAACTGACCATCAAAGTATCCAGCTTGCAGTGATGACTTGATCTTACTTCCACCAGGTAACATTTGCTTACCCTTGTGTGCCGGAGCATTGAACGGTTCTAAACACACACAAAAAGAATTGTTAATGTGAATCAGTGTAAGTTTATAAAATGCAAATGCAACAAAATATTTATTTTTGGAAATCAAAAAATTAATAAAACATTAAAGAGAATTTAAAAGTAAGATATCAGATTAATATTTAAGAGCTGTTTTCTGAAAGACAAAAATGTGACATCACTTGTATTTAATGTTAGTTGTAACTGTTATATTTATAGATATGAAAGAAAGTATTAGGTACTCATGCATTCAATTTCATGGTTAATATTGCTCAAAGCATTGTTATCAAGGATTTAAAGGTTGTGCTACTTTACATCAACGTTCAGTGATATACGATGAAAATCTCATAAGATATCGGTGTGTGTATCAATCAAATGTTATGTATTTTACAAATGTAACTTTATTTTGTGATCATAGTAATTTTGTGATCAGAGTACGGTAATTTATGAAACTTCTTCAATTCGTGCAACAAGATATTCACCGCATATCTCATTGCTTACATACCCTCATTTTAAAATTCATTGTTATTATTCATATTTTATTGTGATTAATTTTCCACAGAAATATTAATTATGCTTTGCAATAGCAGTTTTTTTTTCCTTTTTTTTTTAGTGTTAGTAAATGTGATAATTGGGAACGTGAACATTTTTAATGTACTGATACATCATAATGTAATTTATTATATTACATAATTTACTAATGACACAGAAGGCATAGATAATATACGTTTATACTGTGAATGCAATTACTTATTCACTGGGTTTTAATTTCGCTATTTTCGCTGATAAGTAAAATACATTAAATTAAATCGACGTGGAAATGTAAAATAACAATGAAAACTCATTGTTTCCATGACAAATTCGTGAAAATAAAACTCAGTGAATATGCTCAAAATAGTGAAATTAAATGTCAGTGAAAATGAATGGTTTTACAGTTGTCAAATAAAATTACAATACAATACAATAAACATAAAATAATTATAATATACAAAGTTTGTAGTCCCATGTACAATATTAGTAACTTACGGCTGTTTGGTGGTTGATACCTATGTCCAATTGTTGTGTATTCCATCTCTTTGAACAGGCCAACCCGCTCCATGTCCGTTTTACCTCCTTGATTACTCGACATTTTGACTTTTTCGTGAGCGTTTTCAATAATAATGTCGAATATTTACAATCACTTTTGACCTGGACTTAAATATAGACCTATAAATCGGATAAGTTAAAAATTAGGTCGGATAATCTGTCTTGCCACTGGCTGTGAGTATCAATAAATCCTACGTCGATGTCCTTAGTTTTCCGACGTCTGGAACTTTCCAGCCAACCAAAGTTAGAGCAGTTTTTACTGTTTGGTCAACTTCGGGTTAAACCCAATCTGGGTCGAAGGTGTAGCGGAGCTCAAATAAATGTCCCTTTTCACAAACAGACGGAGAAAGGTCGCGTATTTCGAATCTGAAATTGTCCTTCACCCAAACGCGTCCAGTAAACAACCGACAATACTTCCTTATGTTCAAATCTGTGTTGCTGCTAATAAACGCAGAAATCAACTCGTAGCCCGTCTATATCGCTTCATGAACAACCCCCATCCACTTGGTGAGTATAGCAACCGAATAATTCGATCACAAAATGTCGTTTTTTCGGCAATACAAAAGCCTTGCCCACAGCACAAAACAAGTTATCGTCAGGTTGTGGAAACAGCGCCAACGTCCTAACAATGGCTGTCGTCAAGGCGATCAGCTGGGTGTAACGTCATAATCGCGGGAGCCAAGCTCGTAGTTGACACCGTGCAAGAAACACTCGGACCAGCCTTAAATGTGGTTCGAGGACCAGCACAAGATGCACATTTTATTAAATAAATATTTATTGTTAACATTTTGTTAATGAATGTTGGTTTTATACCATAATCATTCCTCACAAGGCTTGCGCCTGTAACTTGACACCGACGGAGTTCGGTCGTCAACACACCGGCAAATGATTATAATTCCCAGTGCATACAGGCTGTGCTTTGGCTCTGTGAATTGCATAGTATTCTCGTTTGTACATTGTCTGAAAGCATATAAATATTATTCTATGTTGCGTTTCTTTTCAATTTGCTTCGAATTGACGAAAAAAGATTGTTACGCTGCTGATCTCATATTGATTTTACGAGTCATTCAGATTTGCATATAATTAATCTTCGACTGAGGTCGACCATCATCGGCTTTTGTCCTGCCGCCATTTTAAAAATTACAAGCATGCTCTTTCTGGTTGTATGATCTTCTGGAACACTTCGGTAATCATATGAACAATTTTAAGGTGAGCTTATTCTCAATATCTCCAATGATATTATATATTTCAGTTCTGCGATCACATGTTATTGAAAAAAAACCTGTTTGCACCTCATGACATACTTTACTCGATCAACTGTTACACCAAAATTATGAATTATTAGTACTGCAAAACAAGGTATTTTACCAAGGGCACAACGAAGAACAATATTCGAAAACTAAAAAACGGTAATTCGCCTTCGAGCTGCTCGGTATTCGGATAGTATGTTCATGAGTGAGTATATGTTGATCCGGTTATTTAATCAGACACAATAATAGAAAGTACATGCGGGATTTACGTTTCTATGTCAGTATTAAAATAGTCAGTATCGGGATGTTATCATAAAGAAAAATAGTCAGAATAAATTCATTTTGATTATGGCAAACCATACTCTAGCACCAGCCTTAGCAGTCTTCCTAAAAAAACAGCTATGGAACAAAACAGCAACAACTATCAGTGTATTAGGCTACATTTTGCGTTCATTCTATATTCTGTATTCACCATTGGCTGCAAATTGTCTTTATTGTTTTTGATTTGTTTTATTTTTTTAGAAAAGTTTTTATTTTCTGTTTTCTTTTTTAGATTGTAGTTTGTTTTAATTTCTTTCTGTAAGACCCTTTTTATCCTTCCCTAAGGATTTTATGCGTCTAATAAAAAAATAAATAAATAGTAACTACGAATGTTTTGCTGCCGCACATTATGAGGTATTTTTATTGTGTATTATAACATTCATACACCTTAATGATTATTTCAACATTGACCTAGGAATGTCTAGCCCCTGTGAATAAATAATATAGTAATATTATTTTTGCGTTGTGGCCTTGAAAGTGTCTGTGAAACGCCCACCAACACATTTATATTTTTTTTCTCCTGTTGACATTTGCTGGAAAATTTATATTTATTGTGAATGAAAAAGCAACCAAACCAGCATTAAAGTTGATAACAATATTGCCACTCTGTGAGCGAAACAGGGAGCTCTATTATAATACTGCTGGTTGGGTTGCTGTTTTCTGTCACAGTAAATAATAAATCATATTTGTATAAAATTGAAAATAAAATCTGTGTTTTAGCACGACTTTTCCTATTGCATTCGACCATGCCACCAAATGTTAAACAAAGAGAAAGCCATGCAAGTGCTATGCACTGTATACCGTTAAAAACGCACTTCAACATATTTATGTTCCTTTTGCTCCAAAATAGACATTTGTGAAAAAAATTAAATAATATGAATATTGCTCTCAGAACTCATAGGGTTGTAATTATCATTAGCAAAAAAAATTTAAAAAATGCAGGTGAAATGACTGGCTGGTCTGGGTGTAGGTAATATTTCCATCAAACTGTTAACAGTTAATAGGATCTGCCAGTAGTAAAATATTGGTTGTAAAGCAATGACAGAAATAGCCTAAATTTACTGATACACATTAACACTAAGTTAGATCAAAGGAATGTTGTTTTGACCTGCTTTAATAAAATACCCCCCCCCCCCTCCCAAAGAAAAAATGTGGAGAGCTTTTGCTTATGATAAGGTATATTATTGCTGATTTTTCTAAATTTTTTATTTGAGTTAATATTGTGTGGCCTCACTTGTCATTGTGTGTTTATAAAGTAGTGTAACACAAGAATTTGATTATTACCTGCAGGAAGCTGATTTGACTACTAATGTTTGACCTTATGTCTGACACCTAACAGTGCTTAACAGTAAATGGTTTAAATTGGAATTCAGTTAATAATAAACCAGTAACGTGTACAATCTTATTCCATACTATTCTGAAGAGACAGACTGATAACTTTATGGCAATTTATCATAAGTTTACTACGGTAGTTATCTTATAAAATAGGTTTTATTGTTCATAGTTTTTCCAGACAAGGGGGTGTGTACTATAGCCCTGTTGATGGTTCAAGCATGCCAGCATCCAGAGATCGCTGTATACCTTCGGGCAGTCCACTTTATACAAAGTCTGTTCAGTTGTGTTTTCTCTCTCTCTAAAGAATGTGATATATTGTTGTTCGTGAATGAGAAGTAAATATACTTCGATAAAAAGTTGATTTAAAAATAAACATCACTTTGATATGACATGTAAGTCAAATAAATTCTGTACCCACCCTTATTTTTGGGGAAAGCAAAACGTTTATTTTATGCAAATGAATCAAAATTATTTTTTTCTATGCAAATTAGTTATGGTCATTTTTGATTTCAGTTACTTGTATCTTCGTAGTAAATGATTTGCCCTTAGCATATTAATGTATAAATGCTGGTTTGTGGGTATTCGCAGCCCTTGAGAATATTTTTTTTTATATGTAGAGGGTGAAAGAAAACCTAAAGTAAAAATTCCTGTATTTTTTAGACCGTTACTAGAATTACCGGACTTGTTATATTTTGCTTTGTGTGGTTCTAATGATGTGTACTTTAAAATAACTGAATGAATTTTCTTTTTCTTTTTTTTCATTAGTTTTTAAGACTTCCAATTTGGTCAAAATTCTAAAAAAAAAATTTGTTTTCATTTTGGCCCAACAATTTTTAGTATAAGGTTGTCGAAACCACACATATTTTTTTTTTGGTCTTATCAGCAATTTTTGTTTACTTCAATCCTACTCTTGACACTTTCATTGACTCGTTGAAAAAGAATTGAGTAACAGCTGAAATGTTTATACTAATCAATTGCACTTTTTATTGTGTACTAGAATTACTGATGTACATCACATAATTATTCTGTAATGCCTCTCGCATGTCATTATTCAAATTTCTTAATTTGGGTCATTCTGCAAAGCTGCACGAACATGTGATAATTCACAACATATGTCTAAAGCTTTTTAGCAATTTCTCTCATAAATTTCTTTTAATAACTGAACTATTTATGATTCTTCGCTAAATAAAAAACATCAGGGGTCATACCGGGCATGGTGAAATAAATATTCTGTGTAAACCGCTAGTAGTTATTACAAAGTTGCATCATTAGCAAGCCATCATGTAATGTACATTTTAGGCGTTCCATTTAGTATGTTATTGGTGCGAACTGTTGTAGTTGTGTGTAGCAGTGATGTTATTGGGGTCTAAAAGATTCTAAGTCACAGTGAAAATGTTGTCAAATATTAACAAGGACTGTCATTTTCAATGTCTTGTTTATTGGAATGACACAATACTAGTCTCTGCTAAAGCTACAACAAAATGCTGCATTATCTGATCTTAATTGGCATGGTGATGTGTAGGAATTGACAGGTTTCATAAACAGCTGGTAGCTGGTCAATGCAACCACCTACTTTTAATAAAATGCCAGCTAC